TAATAATGTAAGAACTAAAAGTGAAATTATGTCTGATTTTATTGTATTTAGTTATTATATAGTTGTAAGATATCTATGAAATATAAATAGCATAATAAAGTGCAAATTATCGTGCATTTTTGTACGTTGAGGTGGACTTTCCTCTGCATGATTGTACTCAAGGTGAGCCTTTTTGTATGCATGTTTTATTTGTGGATTGGTTTCACCACAGGCGTATCTCATCATGTGATTTTCCGTTGCACCGTGAGGCTCGATTTGTGGTTGCTGGACTGTGTGGAAAAACAGCCACCCTGCTTTCCATAAGGCTACTCTATAAAATCGTTTGGTAGTGCGTTTGTTTCTTCTTCCTACACAAAGCGAGAAAGCGACCCAACACAAGTACCAGACAGAGCACGACTTGTACTATCAAGGCGTCGACAATTTAGGGGCTGGACCAAGCAGGAAGCACCGTCCATTTGATTCCGGGAAACGAAGCTGTGGACGATGCAGTCGGAACAGTTTGACACGGAGGTACAGTAAAGATAGAAGGCAAGGTACGTAGTGGTCGCGATTTGCATGTGCGATGTCTGCCACTGCCATGGCCTTATCCTCCCTCTTGCTCCTCCTTCTCACCGCCCAATCACCCTGTGCGTTCGGTTTATTCGGTTTACATGGTTTGGTTTATACGGTTTTTCGGTTTGTACGGTATTAATACTTCGGTAAATATGGTATGAAATTAAAATACGATTCGGTTTCGGTATATATCAAATTATTTCGGTATGGTTTCGGTATATACCATAAAAACCAAAGTTGACGCGAATTTGAAAATGACGTAATAATAATTTGGAAATTTATGACTCAAAACACATACTATTTTACACAAATAGTATATGACTATATATATAAGTATATATGCATGCATTAATGGTTATGGACGTGCTTAGCATTTTAAAAAGAGAAAAAATGACTATGTTACAAGAAAATTTTACATGCTTATTAGTGAATTTGACTCATGTACAAGAAAAATGACAACTTGTATGGTTGTTCATCTCAAGAAATATAATTTTATTTTTTACTTCGGTTTATTCGGTTATTCGTTCGGTTTTTCGGTATATACCATAAAAATCAAAGTTCAAATCGGTATGAAAAGTTCATACCATACCGAAACCAAAAGCCATAAAAACCATAAAATCGGTTCGGTTCGGTTTATTTTCGGTATGGTTTTGAAATGCACAGAGTGACCGCCCATGGCGCGGCCCTTGCTCTTCGCTTCACGCGGAAAACTTGTCGAAAACTCAAACAACATTGCATGATGCCCTGTCGATATATATTTTTTGAACAGTTTTCAAAAAGAACAACAAATTTCAAAAAGGAGAAAAATAAATTGACGAAAAAGAGAAGAAAAACGAAAAAAGTGAAAAAAGTAGAATAGGAAAGAAAGAAACGCTTAGGCCTTGCCCCAACTAGGTGACGACATCGCTCCACTCGGGCGCCTGTTCGTCCAACCCAAGCACTCGCGGATTTGGAAAATGTTCATCGATTTTGAAAAAATGTTCACCATTTGATTTTTTTTGAAGATTTTCAAAACAAAAGTTGCAAAAAAAGTGTTCCTGGTTTTGGGAACCTTCTAGGAGGTTCATGAACCATTTTTCCCCTTTTGTTTTCAATTTTTCTTTTTATCTTCTCTCCTATTTTCTTTTTTATGTTTCTTTTTCTTTCACCTTTTCCTTTTAATGTCTATTGTTTACATTTTTCATCAATTTAAACTTTTTGGAATTTCAAAATTTTATTCAAATGTTCAAAATATTTCATCTTTCAAATTTTTTCCATTGTTTCAAAAATTGTACATATTTGGAAAAAAAATTCAGAACTTAGATTTTTTACAATTTTATTAATCAATGTTCAAACAATTCCTAAATGTCCAGAATTTCCAAGTTTTGTTCAGGTTTCCATTTTTTCATACTCATTATCGATGTTAAAAAATTCAAAAAATGTTAACAATTAAAAAAGGTTTTGTAAATTCGAAAAAAAATCACGTCGTCAAATTTTGTTCAGAGTTTAAGAAGGTGTTCCTATTTTGAAAAAATGTTCTCTTTTCCAAATTTTGTTCATAATTTTATAATGTTTCCCTGTTTTCATTTTTTTCACAAATTCAAAAAAGCCTCCTAAAAATTCGAATGATCTTGTGGATTTAAAAACATTCATACATTTGAAAAAAGAATCAGGGATTTGAAAAAAGTTTGTGAATTTAGGAAAATATTCATGAATTTAAAAAAATATATTCATGGATTTGAAACAATGTTCACGAATCTGAGAAGTTCAAGAATGTAAGATATATTGATGATTTAAAAAATGAGTTTGTGAATTTTCAAAAGGAAAAGGAAAATGAAAAAAGATGGAGAAAGAGAAAAAAGAAAAACTGGTCATGGATGGCAGTGCGCTCTGTCGCACAAGAACAACAAGAAGAACTAGTAATAAAGCACATCAAGGGAGCTTTCACTGTTGGTTGTTGTGGTTAGAATGAAACAGTGAGCCGGCAGGCGATCCACCATACATACGAAAGGGAGTATGATTTGTCAAAGGTCCATATTGTCCTATATACGTTTAGCGGGGAGGTTGTACTGAAACGCGGCTTCCCGTTGGGCAATATCACTCCCATAAAAAAAAGGACTTGGGCAATATCGTCATCTGGTCCGTTATCACCACAGAAGTATCTCATCTCATCTCATCATGTGGTTTTCCGTTGCACCGTAGGCGAGGCTCGATTGGTGGTTGCTGGACTATGTGGAAAAACAGCCACCCTGCTTTCAAAAAGGCTAGTCTACAAAATCGTTCGGTAGTGTGTTTGTTTCTTGTGTGTTGTTTCTTGTGCTAGTCTACAAAATCGTTCGGCGAGAGAGCGACCCAACACAAGTACCAAACAGAGCACGACGTGTACTATTCAGGGGTCGACGAAGCAGGGGCCGGGCCAAGCATAATTGCAGCACCGCCCATTTGATTCGGAGAAACCAAGGCGTGGACCATGCAGTTGGAACAGTAAAGATAAAAGGTAACGTGCCTAGTGGCCGCGATTTGCAAGCGCGGTACTGTATCTGCCACTGCCATGGCCTTATCCTCCCTCCTGCTCCTGCTGCTTCTCTCCGCCTCCCATGGCGACGCGGCTCCTCCGGCTCTCGGCTTCACGCGGACCGACTTCCCGCCGGACTTCGTCTTCGGCGCCGCCACCTCCGCGTACCAGGTAAGAATGCATTTGTTTCCCTTGGTCAGCTGGTGTGTGTATACTAGCTGGTTTCTCTTGCTCTGCTTCTCTGGTTAATTTGCTCTGTTTTTTATGCAGTATGAGGGCGCCGTGGCTGAGGACGGCAGGAGCCCAAGCATCTGGGACACCTTCACTCACGCTGGTAACTAATGAACCCAGGCTTGTTTGATAGGAAAAATGGCAGACAAAATATATCCTTGCCATACAGTTTTTTTTCTCCTTTTTTCATTGACAATTTGTTCTCTGTTTGATAGGGAAAATGCCAGACAAAAGCACGGGCGATATCGCTTCTGATGGATACCACAAGTACAAGGTAACCACCGTCATAGTTTACATTGCCTCCCTCTCGCAGAAAAACCATGGTTGAATTGCTTCTACGTTTTCTCTTTGATTGATCCCAGGAGAAAATAACACGTTATCCTTCTTGTTTCGCATCGAATTATATGAACAATTTTGTGGAAGGAAATTCAGGGCTGTTTGTTTTGGTTTACACTAGTGACATCACCTGATGTTTCAGGATGATGTCAAGCTCATGGCCGACACAAACTTAGAGGCTTACAGATTCTCCATCTCCTGGTCAAGGCTTGTTCCAAGTAAAAGCTTTCCACAATATTTCTCGTTGTGCTATACTATGAGTTTCTACAATAATGATGACTGGTCTTTGGTTTGATACTGAAATTTGCAGACGGGAGGGGGGCTGTCAATCCAAAGGGGTTAGAGTACTACAATAACCTCATAAATGAGCTAGTGAAACATGGTACGCGTATTTGTAGAAGTTTCTAAATTTTGTTGTACGGACAAGATATTTCATCTTTCAAAAGTATAATACATGACAAGCCGTGGAAATTTATCATAGTTGGCTAAAAGTTATTGTTCTTTAATACTTCACTATCTAAACCCTACGGCCTTCTTGTTTCGTTAGGGATTCAAATCCATGTCATGCTTTACCATCTCGATTTCCCACAAGTTTTGGATGATGAGTATGGAGGATGGTTAAGCCCTAGAATTGTGTAAGATCCTGTGCCTTTTCCTTTGTGGATGAAATTGCTCCAAAGCTGAGAAATAACCAACCTTTTTATAGAAATTGGATAAAGGAGGTGGCCTCTGCAAAATGTTGTCAAAAATGATTATTCCTACTTTCCTAGTGATATTTCCTCATCGATGGTACTGCAAAATGCAGGGAGGATTTCACAGCATTTGCAGATGTGTGTTTCAGAGAGTTTGGAGACAGGGTTTCATACTGGACCACGATAGACGAACCTAATATCGGCCCAATTGCATCTTACGATAGTGGAATATTTGCACCTGGACGTTGTTCCGATCCTTTTGGAATAACAAAATGTACCACCGGGAACTCAACCGTGGAGCCGTACATAGCAGCTCATAACATGATACTGGCACATGCATCAGCTACAAGACTTTACAGAGAACAATATCAAGTGAGTTTATCGTGTGCTCAAATTAACAATAACTCTTTTTGCCAGCACATTCTCCAACTTCTTTCAAACAAGTAAAGTATTAAGATTTAAGTTTTCATCTAATTTTAATACAGAAACACCAGTATTGTTAAACCAGTAAAGAAAACAGTATTTGTGAGCATTACAATTTTTACGGTGTCTTCAGGATTGCAATTTCTCTGTATAAGATTTTCCAATTTTTTGACATAGGATCTCATGAATTACACAAACAGACTTATTTTAAAGGTTCAAATAAACAAAAACAGAATTATTTTAGTTCAACACAATGTATTTCATATGCAAAAATGTGTGTGGTCACAAAAATTGTCTCGGGTGTAGGCTGTGCAAAAGGGAGTTGTTGGCATAAACGTCTACTCATTTTGGACTTATCCTTTGACGAACTCTACTTAGAAGCAACTAAAAGATATCAAGACTTCATGTTTGGCTTGTATGTCATTTAGATTCTTATCTTTGCTTCCGGATTCTGCAGCTGAATGTGCAACAAACATGGACCCTTGGTGTAGGACACTAGGACCCTTGGTGTTCGGAGATTACCCACAATCGATGAAGATGAATGTTGGTTCCCGCCTCCCATCCTTCACAAAATCCCAATCTGAATTTGTTAAGGGCACTATTGATTTCATAGGAATAAATCATTATTATTCTGTCTATGTGAATGATCGCCCTTTAAAGGAAGGTGTTCGTGACTATGCAGCAGACATGTCAGTTTACCAGAGAGGTAATCAAATTTTGTATCTGCATCGGCGTATTGCTGCATTGTTCATCAGTTCAGTGGGAATTTGATTCATTAAACATATATATTGACCAAATAGTTTGTCGAAGCTTTCGAAACATATACTTACAGGATATATGTTTCTGTGATGCAGGTTCTAGAACAGACCCAGCAACAAGCGAGGTAAAGGTTCCCACTATGTTTGTCAAGGATGCCACTTGTTTCAGCTGTTTTGAACATGAGGTAGTTGAAGTGGGAATTCTGGTTCATGTAACTTGTTCTCTTGAGTGCAGTACGTCCCAACGGTTTATCCAGACGACCCAGAAGGATTGCGACTTGTGCTGGAGTATCTGACAGAAGCCTATGGGGGCCTCCCCATTTATGTCCAAGAGAATGGCAAGTCGAACTACTTTCTGGTCACACTGATCTCCAAACTTTGATTCAGTTCTCATCTAAAATTAATCGATTCGGTAAACGTGATGAAGTTTAGACATGATCTCTCTTCAGGCAAGGCAGCCGCGAATGACATTCTCAATGACACCGACAGGGTGGAATACTTGAAGACCTACATAGGGAGCACACTGGATGCATTAAGGTAAGCCATTCAAACAAATTCCGCCAAGAAATTTTGTGAAACCTTCAGAGTTCAGTTACCATGGTGCAGTTTTTCCTCTGCAGAAACGGAGCCAATGTGAAAGGTTACTTCGTGTGGAACTTCCTGGACATCTTTGAGTTCTTAGCAGGGTACAAGTTAGGGTTTGGCATGTATCGTGTCGACTTTGATGACGAAGCGCGGCCACGAGAAGCCAGGCTCTCTGCTCACTGGTACTCAGGCTTTTTAAAAAATAATGGCATCAGTATTCGGAGTGAGGTCGACGACACAGGACACCATGCTCAACAGTGAGTTGTATAGTCAGATGCACTGAGTTGTAGTGACCTTATTTTAGGTATATATGGGAAATGCTAAATTTATCCTGGGTGAAAGAAATTAATGTAAGTAAATAAATTGTTTTTTCTGTATGTGCAACGTGTAGTACTACTACAAGTATGTACAGTGTATGTTGAAAACTTATCGTTCTCCTAGAAGAAATAGATTAAGAGTAATGTTCTATTGGTCGTCCAACAAGGCGACAAAACACTTGTGAGACTTCACGCTTAGAATGCAGATGGTTTAAATTAAAAACACGAGATATTATTTTCCACCGGTTTTGTTTTACGCCCGTGATTTACTTTCTCCTGCGAATATAGTTCTGACCTCATTCCCATGTTTGGACGCCGTTTGGATAGAAAACATAGATGAACTGAACCGCAATTTAGTAGTCACTGACCAGAGTAGTAGTATGACTGAACCTAACACAGGCTTAACATTCTCTCTGGCCAAACTAGCAAAGCTGCGAGGGCGTCATTTTTGGTGTCTTCAATAGGTTTATAAATAAACCATTGTTTTAGAGACTCATATTGTTCAGCTAAAAATAATAAGATTTTATAGCCATTTGCGGTGGGCTAGGAACGCGTCACTTCGTGTGCTCTCATCCGCCGCCACGTGTCGTGCTATGGGCATTCCCTTCAGATTTTTTTCCTGTACGCGTTTTTGCGCTTTAAGATATTTTTTTTTTGCTTTTTGGTTTCCCTCGTTTTTTCTTAGGATTATATTTAGTTCTCCTGGAGGCACAGATTTGCTTTTATGAGAGGCACGGCTGTCTTTTTTTTTTCCAGATTTACTTTTCCTGGAGGGACGGATTTGCTTCCGTGAGAGGCATGGTCGGAAAGGGAAAAAAAATCACGTTTTTTTCTTCCGCGAGAAGCACATATTTACTTCTCATGGAGGCAGAAGGGAAATAACACGTTTTCTTTTTCCTTCCGTGAGAGGCGTAGCTTTATTTCTTGTAGAGGCACAAATTTGCTTCTGCGAGAGCTACGATCGTGCCTCTCGGAAAGAAAACATTTTCTTATATTTTTCTTTTGAGTTAATTGCGCTTTTGGTACATAAACTTGCATTCCATGTACAAATTCATACAACTTGTGTTTCAGGTACATTTACCTACATTTCCGTCATTTCCCGTTAGTCCTCCGTTAACCTGTGCATGAGCTGGCCCACACTACATACATGTGTGTGGATGTCACCTGTCAGTGGCGTACAAAACATAAACTAACAGCGTCTCAGCCGGATTCGAATTAGCAACGTCTCCTCACACACATCAAAGGATTAGCCACTGCACCAGCGGCCACTCTTTGTTATTTAGGACATGATGTCTTCTATATACTCTATCCGGTAATGGATTTGAATCCAAAATATGTATTGCATGGGATTTGCTGCTTGCGTGCCTCTCTCATCACCCCTTTTTTCCCTGTCCAGTGAGTACTAAAGAAACTCGGAATTTTTCAGTATTTTTTGTTCGAAGTTTTTGAATAAATTTCAAATTTGAATTATTTAAGTGCAAACACCTCTTCATTTTTTCTATTAAAATGCTGAACATAACGCTAAAAGGGTCCACTTTTTTGCAAGATGGTTCACCCGCCATTTCACTTGGAAGAAATTTGTTATGTGAAAAAAATATGCATATGAGCTCTATTTTACAATATTTGATCTTCTAAATAAAAAAAATCAAAAACATTCAGTGCTCACCTGTTTTTTTAAAGCATTGAATATAACGCTACAAAGGTTCCATTTTTGCAAGTTCGCCTTATCACTTGTAAGAAAGTTGTTATGTGGAAAACATATGCATATGAGCACTATTTGACAATATCTGACCTATTAAATTAAAAAAACGATATCAAAATTATTTGGTGCTCACCATTTTTTAAAGGGTCGAGTATAACGCTAAAAAGGTCCGGTTATTGCAAGATGGTTCGCCGGCCTTATAACTTGGAAGAAAGTCGTTATGTGAAAAACATATGCATATATATGAGCTCTATTTGTCAATATCTGAATTTTTAAATCCAATAAAAGAACAATATAAAAAACATTCTGTGCTCACTGATTTTTTGAAAAACATTGAATATAACACTAAAATGGCCCAGTTTTGCAAGCTGGTTCGCGCACCTTTTCACTTGGAAAAAAACTGTCATGTGAAAAATATATGCATACGAGCTCTATTTGACAATACCTGATCTTTTATATTCAAAAATAATAATTTTATTTGACCAATATCAAAAACATTCTTTGCTCACCGAATTTTTGGGTACTCACTGGACCAGGGGAAAAAAGGGGTGATGAGAGACGCTCGCAAGCAGCAAATCCCGTGCAATACATATTTTGAATTCAAATCCATTACCAGATACAAAGAATGGCCGGTGGTGCAGTGGCTAATCTTTGATGTTTGCTTGGAGAAGTTGCTAGTTCGAATTCTGCTGTGGAGGGGCTACTTTTATATATATCTCTGTTTGTTTCTATGCCACTGACAGGTGGGATCCACACACATCTATGCAGTGTGGGCCAGCTTACATGCACAGTTTAATGGACGAATAACGGCCAATGACAGAAATGTTGGTAAATGTACCCGAAACACAAGTTGTTAGACCGATTTGTATCATTTTTCAAGTTTATGTATGAATTTGTACATGACGTGCAAGTTTATGTACCAAAAGCGTAATTAACTCTTTTCTTTTCGTGAGAGACACATATTTACTTCTCGTGGGGCACGGATTTGCTTCATCGAGAGGCATGGTCGTGCCTCTCGGAAAGGGAAAAGACGCTTTTTTCCTTTCACAAGAGGCACAGATTTAATTCTCGTGGAGGCACGGATTTGCTTACTCGGGAGGCACTAGTAAAAAAAGGGTATAATGTGAAACTCATTAGTCCCGGTTTGTAATTGAACCGGCACTAATGTGACCATTAATACCGGTTCCAACGGCTAGGCAGGCGGCGCTCATTAGTACCGGTTCGTGCCACGAACCGGTACTAAAGAGGTGGTGGCCTTTAGCTTGGGTTGGTGGCTCCAACCTGTACTAAAGGGGGGGGGGTCTTTAGTACCGGTTGGAGCCACCAACCACTAGTAGAAAAAGGGTCTAATGTGAAACTCATTAGTTCCGGTTTGTAATTGAACCGGCACTAATGTGACCATTAATACCGGTTCCAACGGCTAGGCGGGCGGTACTCATTAGTACCGGTTTGTGCCATGAACTGGTACTAAAGAGGTGGTGACCTTTAGTACGGGTTGGTGGCTCCAACCGGTACTAAAGACCCCATTTAGTACCGGTTGGAGCCACCAACCAGTACTAAAGGTAGTGCGCTGCCACCCGCAGTGCATAATGTTTAGTCCCACCTCGCTAGTTGAGAGGAGCTCGCACCGGTTTATAAGCCCCGCCACGGCTACCGTGTCGAGCTCCTCTCTAAGCAGGCCTTTGTGGGCCTATTGCAAGTCTTCTGCCCTGTGGGGCCTACTGGGCCATACGGGCCTGCATCCTGGCTCAACTAGAGATTGGGTTTCTAGTCGTATGCAGGCCGTGTCGGCCCAGTAAGCTGGCTATTTTTGCTTTATTTCAAAAATAAAAAAAAATCCTTACCAACCGGGACTAAAGGTCCCCCAGACCACAGCGCGCCTCGTGCCACGTGGTGGGCCTTTGGTCCCGGTTCGTGTTGAACAGGGACTAAAGGGAGGGGACCTTTAGTCCCCACTCTTTAGTGCCGGTTCCAGAACCGGTACTAAAGGTCCTTATGAACCGGTACTAAAAGTCGGTTTTTCTACTAGTGAGGAATGGTCGTGCCTTTCAGAAAGTTTTTTTCCTTCCATGAGAGGCATAGATTTACTTCTTGTGGAGGCATGGATTTGCTTCCGCGAGAGGTACAGTCGTGCCTCTCAGAAAAAAATATGTATTTTCTTGTTTTTTTTCTTCCACGAGAGGCACAAATTTACTTCTCACGGAGACATGAATTTGCTTCCTAGAGAGGCACAACCTCTCGGAAAGGCAAAAACACGTTTTTTGCCTTTCCTTCCACGAGAGGTACAAATTTACTTCTCGTGGATGCACGGATTTGATTACTCGAGTGCCATGTTCGTGCCTCTCGAAAAGAGAAAAAACATATTCTTTTTCCTTTTTGTGAGAGGCACAGATTTACTTATCGTGGAGGCACGGATTTTCTTTCTCGAGAAGCACGGTCGTGTCTCTTGGAATGGGAAAAAAATGTGTTTTTTGTTTCCTTCCGCGAAAGGCACATATTTACTTCTCGGGGAGGCACGGATTTACTTCCACGAGAGGCACATATTTACTTTTCGTGAAGGCATGGATTTGTTTCCTCGAGAGGCACGGTCGTGCCTCTAGAAAAGAAAAAATAATGTGTTTTTTGTTTCCTTCCACGAGAGACACATATTGACTTCTCGTGGAGGCACAAATTTGCTTTCGGGAGAGGAACCTCTCGAAAAGGGAAAATGTGTTCTTTCTTCTGTGAATGGCATAAATTTACTTCTCGTGGAGGTACATATTTGTTTACACGAGAAGCACCGTTGTGCCTCTCGGAAATGAAAAATAACATGCTCCTAGTTTGGATTTTTTCGTCTGGTTCTTTTAGTGAGAAAAGTTCATTCAAACCTATCAACATGAGATCTAGTTTTGGAGATAAAAAAACCAAACTAGGATAAAAAGATAAACCATTTCGGATAAAGGAATCCATAAAAAAGAACTCTCATGTTGCGATAAATGACACACATGCAGTTTGACACTTGTCATTGAAGGAAATATGCCCTAGAGGCAATAATAAAGTTATTATTTATTTCCTTATTTCATGATAAATGTTTATTATTCATGCTAGAATTGTATTAACCGGAAACTTAGTACATGTGTGAATACATAGACAAACAGAGTGTCACTAGTTTGCCTCTACTTGACTAGCTCGTTAATCAAAGATGGTTAAGTTTCCTAGCCATAGACAAAGAGTTGTCATTTGATAGACGGGATCACATCATT